TATGTGAGAAGGGCAAATTATATGGCACCAAAAAATCTAACAGTTTTTTTTATAGCGGTTATACAGAATACGATTATGTTCTAAGGTAGAGTTAAATAGCAAATCTTGTAAGTATATAATTTCATACTAATCGTAATGGATCGATTACACTTGGTCATTAGCCCGTATTCTCCTTTAAAAGACGCGTGAAGAAGCAACTTGCCGGCCGGCAAGGTGATGATGGCTGGTGTTTCAGGTAGAACTGCTGTACCAGTTATTTTCACGCCTGGACTTCACCGTCACTTAACATCAGGGGGGGTGGAGTCATTTGTCGGTCATATCTATAGTGCACGGAAGACATTACTCGAATTCGGGCACCCGAAACAGTATTTATACTGGGTTACGGGCTGTAAGACGTTGTCGCGTAACCGTTCATTTACACTAAGTCGTTTACCCGAATGCAATTGGTAATCGTATTCGGGCTAACGATCTGGTGTTGACCTTAAGTGATTTATTTAATAAAACTAGTTTTTACGGGTTAATGCACGAAAACTTTATTTATTTATTGAAAAATCGAACAATGAAATAATCAAACGCTCAATAAAAGTCTTTCGAAGGTAGCTCGACAAATTAAATAAAAGTTTTATTCTGACGACGTAGCCTGTAAAGACTACGAAACGTCAATAAATAAATAAAGTTTTCGTGCATTAACCCGTAAAAACTAGTTTTATTTAATGAGTGATGTGCGTCAAAACCTAAGAAACAAATATGATTTATTTAATTTATTAAGGAAATAGCGGCCACCCGCGACTTCGTACGCGTGGAGTTATTTGCACATACTTTTTGATCCCTGTTTACTGCTCGTTCCCCGTAGGTGATAGCCTGATAATATGTAGCCTTTATGTTGACCCGACTTCTTAATAATATTTGTGCCAAATTTGAAGTAAATCCATGCAGTACTTTTTGAGTTTATCGCAGACATACATACATACAGACAAAAAATCTAAAAACTAAATTTTTAGCTTCGGTTTCGATTGTAGGTCACACCCCAAGTATTCTTTAAAAAAAATATTCAATATTCAGTTTTGACTTTCCTACCATTTTATTATATGTATAGATTGTTCATATGAGTATTATGAATAAAACCACGTTTAGAGGTGACTCATATACAGCCAGCATAATGTTTTTGACGCAATCAAGCAATCAGCAAATGTAAACATTATATTTTGATATTAGCAGATCTTAAACTATTAATCTTTTTCTGGTGATCTTTTTCTTTTTTGTATGATAAAAAAAATCAATGAAAGAGACAAAAATTACTTTGATCAAACTGAAATTTTATGGAATATGTTTTATTTTTGCTTCAAGGTAAGGAGAACCTGAACTGTTTCTCAAAAATCTTTGTAGTTCCACGGCAATTTTTTTGCCTGTGATCCTATCAATCGGAACACTCAAACCACGAACAGGCAAATTAAATTGCCCGTAGTCCTAACTATAGCACTAAGGATAACTTGGATTATGCAGATTAAAACATAGTTTAGCCTGCCCATTTTACCAATTGGCCATTTCAACAAACAGCCCCGGCTTGCGAATCGATCTTCACCATTATTGCCCAATGATACAAAAAATACCATATCATTTCTTTAAAATTTAATTATTGGAGTTTACTCCTTAAGAATCGATTTGCATCCCAGTATGAGAAAAATGTGAGGAGTAAAATCTATGGATGAATGACCTCGTTACGTTTTTGGTACGCATCCTATGTCGCGCAACTGTGACAAACAAAGACGAGGGATTGACATTAATAAAAATTTTAAAATCTGAACTGAATTTAAATATTGTTTCTGATAGAGCAATGGGGACAACAAGGTATGGTACAACCATTGTAGTCTTATTTTAGTTACCATAAACCACTTGTCACTGTAATTAATAATGCAGACAATGTTGATTTAATTAATATTTAAATAAATGATAATAGTCTGATAATAATAATTACATAATTTATCAACATTCCTAATGATATATTTATGCACATCTGAAATTGACTATTGTAAAAAGTTTAATGTAAAATATTTCGTCGATTAGTTATAATAAATGTATATGAAATGAATAAATATATATTTATAAATGTATATTATTTTCATTAATTTGTTAATTTACCCTTTCATACAGTATCAATCTTTTTTAAGTAAAATAAACTGTTTTTGCGTCTGGTTAGACTATCGAACTTAAGGAATAAACTCCAGTCGTGCGTCGGAGCTGACACACACAATTTTTTTTTGTTTGGCCAAATGTTTATATGTCCGAATTCACAATAGCACACTTTTAAAATCGCAGAATTTTATTAGGCAATTACTTTTGCCAAAATTTAACTCTGCATAATTTCGTTCGTAATTCAACGGAATATAACTAAAATCAAACATCATCATTTTTTGTACTTGTCCGCTTCACGTGGAATGCCCGTTCTTTGGAATTAATACCAAATGGTATGGGGAGCCCTAGCGGGAATTTTTAGATTTACTCGAGCGTGACAGAATAACATAAGGTGGGGACACCTTGTACCCTGTGAAGTACTCCCACCATACCTGCACCTTAGGGCAGCAAAAAAGTCAACTATCGGCCATAACTTTTGGTCGCGTCTGAATCGTGAGTCTTTTCAATAGGCGCTACTGGAGGTTTGTTAAGGTGGACTTTAGGTGTAGGTTACTTCCCCAGATGTGTGATCCGATTCGAGTGATTAATCCCCTATACCTTACCTCTTTCATAAGAATTTTAAAGTAATATGAGAATCGTGCTCCTATTTTTTGACTTTAAAATGGAGCAGGATTATAAAAAGAGAAAAACAGAAACTTTTCTAACAAAAGTAAAACCGACTCCATATTTAAAAAAAAAACACAAAAAATTAAGTAATAAGACCTTTTCTTTACTTGTCTAAAATACTTTAAAGTAAAAGTTTTATTTTAAAGTTTAAAAAAAAATATTAACAACTTTTAACATGCATTTATTCCTGTTTCTAACAAACCATCTTAAATTCTGGAATTTGACTTCTTCACTAGCATCTTTATTTTCACACTCTCTCTCACCTTGAAAATATCTTGCAAGAAGTACTAGCTTGTCTTAGATTCATGTCATCAACATTTTGTGTGCAAAACAACACGGTTTACTACAAATCATAAAATATGCAGTAGAAACACGTCTGCTCCTAATAAAATTAAATACCAGTTTTATATACGAGTCATTTCCGTTTTAGTCTGACGCAGACAAGATCAATGTCAAAGTCGATTTTGCATATCAATAATGACTTGCCATATTTCGCCAGTGGTAAGCCTTCGGTTTATATCCTTAAATCTTACAGGTCAAATTCTTAATTTAGGTATTTAGTATTAAGCCAAGTTAAACAGCTTCTTCGAAACAAACTTAGAATGAAACCCTGGAAGCGAACTGACAACATAGATTACGTCAGCTATAAAATTTCCGACCTTATATTAGAAATTTATTAACTTAGAGCAGATTTGTTCGGAAACTGCAGTCGATTTCCTGTCACTGTATTTTATAGAAAACAGCTTAAACCCATTCTAGAACACTATGCCCTACAATAAATATGAAATGAAAAATTGTTCACATCTTCCTTTTAATTTTGGTAGGAATAAAATAGGAATCTTTAAATTAGCTAATAACTTCCCAATCGTCTTTGGAATCGTCCACATGAAATTATTTTAGTTTGCGAATTGTCTTCCACATTTTTTATTAATCTTAATTTAATAAATAAAATATAAAAGTGAATAAGGGAGCCCTCGGTAACTAGGTGTGGACTGCTCAGCATAAAATTATATTTCAATAGACAGTATGTGGAATTTGCACCAAAATTTTCTAAAGAATTTCACCTATCTAAAATGCCTAAAATTAATCTTAACCTTCTTTCTTCTTCGGTCTTTGATCTTTAAGATCAGTTTTTGTGTATAATTCTTAAAACTTGTTTGTCATTTTATATTTTAATAATTTTTATTTCCCCTATATTGACTTAAATAGCATCTTATCCGGTATTCGACACTATAGATAAGTTTTTGTGTTTCTTAAAACTCAAACCGTACGTATGTCATTTTTATAGCAGTTATACCATCTTTGACATCAAAATTTCGCGCTCTTTGAGTAATAGAGAATATGCATGATTAATTTTTATATTTTTATTTCATAGTTTACATTTCCTTAATGCAGTATAAACATTTTTAAGGCCGAAAAAATAGTGTAGTGTGTCTAAATAAAAATAGCAACTCGGCACAGGTATTTTAAACGTTCGCTATTTTGGAACTCTTGGTGTGACGTCACAATCTATAGCAACCTAACAACAAAACAAACAAGGATAATAACCTTCTTGGTTACGTGCACGCGCACTACCCTCTCGCACTAGGTGTCATTGACTTTAACATATCCTGTGAACGTGGTTCTTGTTTGTTGATTTGTTGTTATGTATATCTACGTCATAACCGTTCTGTCGCGTTTCAAATATTTAAATTTCTTCCAAGTTTTTCGCGCTTTTCAATATTAAATTTGTTGCTCAAAACAAATTTTATAAAAATAATATTTTTGGAGGGGTAATTGAAAACTAATAGTTTATATACAAAACATTTGAGCCTTATTTGAACGATATGCAGGGAATAATGTCCCTATTAAAATAGATTTTGTATTACGTATTTTTGCTAGATTAGTTAAATTATCAAAATTATCTCAGTGAAATACGCTTTATTTTTTAATAAAGCCTAATTAATTTCATCCTTGGCAGGTTGGACGTCCCAGATACCGCTGGAGCGATGAGGTGCAGAAGCACTTACAGTCTTTGGATGCCGACTATTGGCGGAACCTAGCCCAGGATCGCATTACTTCATCTTGTGTTGGATGCTAAGATCCACTTCGGATCATTGCGCTACAGCAGTAATTAAATAGCAAAGGTTGAAGGGCAGTCGGACGGCACATCTGCGTTATCTCAAATGTATTAAACCTGCATTCTTAATTAAAACCAACAGTCGTTAACACTATTTTTATTAACAATCATAGTTCCGCATTTGCAACGTAGTATCAGTGGGATAAGCAGTTACTTCAGTACCAACTTACTAATAATACCAAGAAAATGAAAACAAATAGGATTTTTATTTCGTCAATTAAGTAAGGTTATGATCGCTATCTGCTATAGCGATAATATTGAGCTCCATAACGACTGTTGCCGTTTGTGGTCCATTCCCATTCGTCTAAATCTTGGTCGTCATTATCATTCCGACTATAAGGCCTGTTATGAAGAGGCTCATCTCTTTCTTCCCACAACTCATCTTCTCCACCTTGTTCCTCTTCAATTATCTCCAAATCGTCATCCTCAACTCTTTCTTCTAGTTCTTCGTCTTCGCCTTCTTCCTCTTCTAATATTTCTTCCAAGCCATCGTTCCTCTCTCTTTGCATTTCGTATTCCACTTCTATTTCAGGTATTTCTTCTAAGACCTCCCTGTGAGCTAAGAAATGTTGTCGACCCCTGGTTGGCTGTATTTGAATAACTTCTTCAATTTCGTCTTCTTCCGGTCTTTCTGATACATTGTTCTCTTCTATTTTATTTTCTTCTCTCTTTGTGACGTCTATGACCTCTTTCATTTCATATGATTCTTTTTCTGGTTTCGAAGAGAGAGAGAATATCTTATGAATAGACTGCATGGGAATGATGAATGTTAAAGTCAAAAGAATTGATAGTAAAAATATAGCTGATATTTCTTGAGCATCAATCTGAAATAAGATACAATAGATTCACAGTCATTAAGGTTTTTCAAAATCTTAAAATACATACACTGTTCATTCCAGTACTAAGAGCTATACACTAAGGAAATAACGTCAAACTGTGTATATATTACAGCATTCCCTCCGAGATTCCCAATGTAATGTAACGGTTTGACACCACAACTGTAATTAAATAGCAAAGGTTATGCAAGTTCTTTAATTTTTTTGTTTACTCGTAAAATATTTTATGTTAATTATTGCAGGCGCACTTGCCTTGTCTCGATTAATTGTTATATCAAGTTGGATAAGGGTTTATAAAACTAGATAAGTAAATACCTCAGTCTATAACATAAACTTCTTCTCCTGACAATTATGAAAATAATAAATAGTAATATTGATTTTTCTTACCACAGACATCAAAGTAAATTCAGTGGCTGATCGGACAGTGCCAGCTTTCGTAAGGAATACTATGAACTGAGTCAGGTAAAGGGCGTAAGAGAGACGGCTGAGGAAGGCCAGTAAACGGCAACTCAATAACCGGGCCAACCATTCTGAAAACAAAAAAAAAACATTACTTAGAGCTATCGTCTCAGTCAGATTGGAAGTACTTAAATAAATAATAATTTAAATGTCACACCATTGTTACTTATTTTACTGCTGTATGTTTTTTATATTAAAAATAAAAATTATTATAAGAACAATTGTCATTTTCAAAATTAATAACAACTATAATGCCTAAAACATCATTGTTCTTGAAACATAATTATTAAAAGACTTAAGAAATACGTATGGCATCAATCTGGCAAAATAGTTTTTTCCAATATTAAAAAATCCAATCCTTTATACCCTGCTCTTTATTGATTATTGGATTTCAAAGTCAGAGTTTAAAACAATGATGATGATCAAAATCACCGTATATTTACCACATTGTCCACCATGAACGGTATAGATCACCCACGCTATCGCTGCAGCCGAAGCGATTGGAGCGAGCGCAGCGTACTGAGCAGCAAACGAAGCGCTGTATTTGTACTGAGTCGAGCCAGCGTCCCACCCTGCCCACCACACGATGGCCCACAGCGTCACGCAGACTAGCCATCCCAAAGATAGTAGGATCTGTAAAAAACACCAGCAATTTAATTATTTTTCATTGTAGATTTGAGTTCATTCGACTTTGCACCTTTTGAAGTACTCCCATTTCTTTCATATTTTTTATGTCAGTCAAAAACAATCTGCAAACTATCTTTTCTACCTCTAAACGTTATTATTGTAGTCTTTGATTTTCTATTATAAAATTTAATAATACTTATACCCATATTTTATAAATATTAAAAAAAATAAGATTTTTTGTAGAAATTTATAAAATACACTAGACAGGGGGGGGGGGTAAACTTAATCGTCACCATGTATCACCAAGTGACAAAGGGGGGGAGGGGGGTAAAAAATGACAAAAAAATACATCACGTGATTAATAGACGGCCCCTAAAGCAACAAAAAACTCAACAAACAGCCATGACTTTTGGTCGCGTCCAAATCTTCAATCTTTTGAACTGAAGCTACTGTAGGGTTCACGTGCTCGTAAAAAATCCCCGCTTGGGCTGCCCTCACAGAACACAGAAAGAGGTTAGAATGGCCTTGTGGGCGGGGCAGGCGCGTCACAGTTATGAGCAAATGCTCATAACTTGACCGTATCGTCCGATCGCGTCGTTTAGTTGCCCGCGACCGCTTAGTACGAGAGTATTGTAATTACCGCTTAAAATATGCCTTCGTGTGCCGTAATTACTTGCAAAGTAAGGAGTCAATCATCAAATTTACCTAAAGCAGGAATTTCTTTTCATCGGTAAGTATAAAACTTCTTAGTTAGACTGATATTTTAGCAAAAATTCGAGAAATTTTAATAAAACGATAAATCACATATATATTTTCACAAAAATATTCATTGCTGACAAAGTACGCTCGCTATTCTTTCTACGACATTCAAAACACGTAATGTAGTACGATCGAGCAAGAATGAAGCGTGGATCACAGAGCGCTGCACGTGGCCGCACGCAGTACAAGGTCATTGCACCTACTTTAGTGGTGTCTTGCGTCGTACATTTTACATTTTCGATAGATTTTATCGACTGTATTTTAGCACCTAATAATGGAATTAAAGTAACTTTTAGAAATAAATAAAAGCTGATTGTGAATGTTTATCATACTTAATATTATAAAGTTGTCTCCCGTGCTCACGCGCTTGTACCAATGCTCGTATTCTTTGGGGCGTGTGCCGGAGACTTGGAGAGATGCTAACGTGCAACCGGTGCCCAAAAAAGGGGATCGCTCAGACCCGGCAAACTATCGGCCAATAGCAGTCACCTCAGTTTTATGTAAAGTTCTAGAAAAGGTCCTTAATAACCATCTGACCCGCTACCTAGAGGATCACTCCCTGATTAATGATCGTCAATATGGATTTAGACCGAAACGATCGACGGGTGATCTTCTAGCGTACTTAACTCATATCTGGGGTGAGGCTATCTACAAGCGTGGCGAGTCGTTGGCTATCAGCCTTGACATTGCCAAGGCGTTCGACAGGGTCTGGCACAAAAGCCTTCTCTCCAAGCTTCCGGCATACGGTCTGCCAGCCCAGTTCTGTTCTTGGGTAGCTGACTTCCTGCATGAGCGTAGAATTCGTGTCCTTACGAATGGTAGCAGTTCGCGGTTCATGTCAGTGAATGCCGGCGTTCCCCAGGGCTCCGTCCTATCCCCCACTCTCTTTCTGCTGCATATCAATGACTTAATTCCTCTTGGGAATATTCATTGCTATGCAGACGATAGTACAGTGCATGCGGGGTATCTCGGACAAGCAGCGGCTGGGCATGCAGTAACCAGGGAGAAACGGGAAAATCTTGTCATTGAACTCAATCAGGCTTTGGACCACATTTCCGAATGGGGTACCAGGAACTTGGTTGGGTTCAATGCCAAGAAAACTCAGGCTTGCGCTTTCACGGCAAAAACATCGCCATTCCTTCCTCTTCCATCTCTTCAGGGCACAACACTACCGCTGCAGAGCAACATTTCCATGCTCGGTATGGAAGTTCGCTCAGACCTGAATCCAAAGGACTACATCGAAACCGTGATCAAAACAGCTTCACGCAAACTCGGAGTCCTGAACAAGGTGCGGCGTTTTTTCACGCCCGATCAACTGTGCTTGTTGTACAAAACGCAAGTGCGGTCCTGCGTGGAATATTGCTCGCACCTCTGGGATGGCTCCGCCAAGTACTTGCTCGATGCTTTGGATAGGTTACAGCGGCGCGCGATCCGCATCATAGGCGATGAGGAGGTGACTAAACACCTTGAGCCTCTTCAATTACGCCGTGACGTGGCGTCACTAAGCGCGTTCTATCGTTTGCACCACGGCGAGTGTTCTGAGGAGTTATTCTCTCTTATCCCACCTTCCCCTTTCCTTCAGAGGACCACGCGCGCTGGCCTACGTTGTCACCGTTTTACTGTGGCCACAATTCCAACGCGTACAAAGAAATTTGGTGACTCATTTCTTTGTCGCACTATCCGTAAATGGAATGCTCTGCCCGCTCACGTGTTCCCTCCCTCTTACAACCTGGGATCCTTTAAAAGAGGCGTGAAGAAGCAACATGCAGGCCGGCAGGGTGAGGATGGCTGGTGTGGCAGGTAGAACTGCTGTATCAGCTATCTTCGCGTCTGGACTTCACCTTCACTTAACATCAGGTGGGGTGGAGTCATTTCTCGGACCTAACTATAAAAAAAAAAAAAAGTTTGTGAGTGTGTATGTTTGTTACTTCTTCACATCTGAACGGCTGGAGCGTTTTTAATAAAATTTGGTATGGAGTTAGCTGACACCCTGGATTAACACAAACGCTACGTTGAACTGCGGGAAAATATCCCTAATAAACCGCAGGACAGGGCAGGTAACAAGGCATGCCAATACAATACAATATAATATAAAGCTGAAGAGTTTGTTTATAGTCCAGTCAAAATAGACATTTGACTTAGGAATAATTCGCATAGAGCTGAAAATCGGCAGAGACGTTAAATACATCTTCGATGATCCGTGAGTGAATTTTCTGTAACTTTGATAATCTAGGGTTATATTGTTTTATCACCTGGATAATCATGGGCTTGCAATTTATTTAATTAATTATTCTTTATTACCATAAAAACAGTAAATGGCGGACTTAATGCCATAAGCATTCTCTACCAGTCAACCAGTTAAGGTGTAGGAGATGAAATGTGTGCCAAATAATCGAGGACTCGAAAAGCAGGTACACAGTAGTAATTCCTTAGAGATTTTTGAATTTTATAGGTCATATGGATTTACTCGCGGGTATCGAATAAATTACAGCGGTACCAAAAGCTTGGCTTTCCAATCTATAACAGTTGGGTGGTTCACTACATTTTCCGATGAAGGCCGATGGAGTCCCGTAGCACAATGATGGACGGTCCGCCATATTGCCAGGCGTCCTCTTTGTTCTCATAAAAACCGAAAACAGAATCCGCAATGCGGAAACTTGATTGCCGTTCTGGATACGTTTTGAAGAATATCGTCGTTCGTTCGCTCGGTCGGCAGAAGTATACGTTCGCCAGGGGATTCGGGAATTTAACATAAATTTCGATGAAGGTTTTTCTCTTTTTGTTTACTAGTCAACTTAGAATAAGAACAACAACGATACATGGTGATTGGTGGTGGACATGTGCACTTGTGCAGTATCTAAATAAATTCGTAATACTTTATTATTAACACCGTAGAAAAAGGCATCATAGTATCAATATTTCCCACACAAGCCTTGAAATGGAAGAAGAAGTAAAAATGGCGTAGAAGTAAATGTGAAACTCAGACACTTCAATCTGATCTGAAATAAAAGGTTTATTAGTTTTTGAGATACATTTAAAGAATACCTAATGCAACATTAATGGCGGTGTATTTCTGGTACTGAAATACCAAACAACATACAATTTCAAACGAAATCGTCTACTGAGTCCAGATGCTATCCCTTATCTTTCCACATTATCATCGCAGGATTATAAATCAGAAAATTTGTATTTAGATGTTTGTATATACGTGGTATATACTCACTCAATAACGAGTAAGCGTCTCAACCGATTTGGACGAAATTTCGCACATAAACAAGATTTTTTTACCTGAATTATGATTCAAAATGGATATTTTAGAAAAAATAAGTTCTGTAGAAACGTACGACTGAAAAACAATCACTAACGATAATAATATCGTTGCCAATGGCACGAAATTGTGGGCCTCTGCAATTAGTTAAAATTAAGTTATACGGATTAAAGAAAAGTTTGATATTGTGATTTAGTTACTTACAAACCGATTGTCTCCATAAAATGGCATGACAAATCAATGAGACACTGCCTCTTTAGACATCTAAATAAGTAATTCACTTTGCCTGCGGGGTGACGTAGAATGGACAACGCAACCCGATAATGAAATCTGATATTTCATAAAACAACTTGAGAATATATTTTTCATCCCACCACCTCGGAAAGTGTAATTTTGCGCTTCGAAATCTGGCTGGAAAATTCTATTTTATTCGCTTGAGCGGCAAAGTAGATTTGAATTTAGAACATCACATATAATGAGTACTCAATATAATTGTAAATTCAAAACGTCATTAAACCTATTTAATGTAACCTCTATGGTGCCAAATTTATGATTAGAACTTTTTAAATTGTGAAAAAATTTAAATTTGGAACCTTCTTGGTTTCTTTGTTTTATTTGCGTGCTTCGCGCCATTCTAGTTTTTCACGTTTTATTGCTTAAATATTTTGTCATTATAAATTGTTTTCTTTTTCATTTTGTCATTTCCTCGCTGAGGTGGGATGAAAAGTTACGTATTGCACTCGAGTGGAAAGATTTTTCACCTTGTGCTCGTTTGTTTCCTTCGCTTGCTCGGTCATCCAAATCGAGCACGCGGTTAAAAAGGAACTTTCCACTCTTGTATAATAAATAACTATAGTCATTTAGTAGCTATATTACAAGCAACGGAATAACTGTTTACTGTATGTTCAACGTAACTTATATGAATATTAGTAATTATGTAAAAACATTTTTTATTGCTTTTAATTTAATATACACAGTATAAGTTCTGATTTATACAGGTATAAATGCAATCCCCTGTTTTCGGGACGGTCCATTGATATTGATACATGTGGCGCCCACTGATAACTCGTATATTATTCTAGGAAATACCACATTGGTAAAAAATGAAATGCCTTTTTGGGGAATGTACCAATTATTGTTACGTGCAGTCACACTTATATTATAAAGGCGAAAGTTTGTGAATCTGTGAGTGTGAATGTTTGTTACTTCTTCACGTCTTAACGGCTGGAGCGATTTTAATAAAATTTGGTATACAGTTAGCTGACACCCTGTATTAACACATAGGCTACTTTTACTGCGGGAAAATATCCCTAATAACACCGCGGGGCACAGCAAAAAATCTGTGGACGATACCAAATTTTTGGTAACCCATCCGATTACCGGCCATTGTGATTCAATACAACAACTTTAATAACTTATATAAACACGAAAATACTGCAATAATACATTATTTCTATCGAAAAATAAAAACATCAAATTCCAGTTAAATGAAGATCAGTAGTCATCCTTACAAAAGGACATTGGGCAAAAATGTATGGACGCTGCACCCACGTCCGCCACGGCTTAAACTACATTTGTTTGAAAGGTATTACATTCATGATCATCTGTGCCGAAGCGCATCAAATTCAATCCCGGGAGTCTTTAGTTATTATAAGTTAAATAGGTACAAGTACTATAACGAACGAAGATAAATGAAACAGGGGATTTAATTTAGTTAGTTAGTTTGACACTTCATAGGGGGCTCAGATATTAGGGGAGTACTTCACAAGGTTCAAGGGTGCTTCCTTATGTTATTCTGCCGGACTAAAGTAAATACAAAAATCCCCGCACGGGTTGAGGTTTTTTTTCAAACATTTTGTTCGTTATATCTGTCATTGTGTTAAACGGAGCGTCCACAAATCACCCAAACTTGTCCACGCTTCGGAGAAAACATGATTCCAGTTCATCAATACTAATTGACAAAACCGATAATCGTGTTCCAATATCCAAAGCGTGTTAGATAAAAATCAATCAAGTGACAGCGCACAATCACAACGAAGTAAGACGAGTCGACTATTTGCAACTGCAAGTCCTTCAACCCCCGTAAACCGTTTTGAGGTGTCTCAGTAAGTGCAAGCGCAGGATGGATCAGCAGGCTTTGTCGTATATCTAGTTGTATAGTACGATACGGCATATTATTATGGTTACTAATAATATAGGTATAAAAGGTACTATAAAATGAATTTATTTAGCCTCTTAAATATGCCCATATGTCATATATTTTGACTACCAGGATATTTTATACGGTGTTATAGCTTTTGATTGCCAGGATATTTTTTTTCGGTGTCATAATAAAAAAGGCTAGTTTTTCATAGATCTATCGATTCATACTAATTGCATTGTTGGCGGAGCTGGGTGTGTTTTGCCCATTGTCCAAAAAACTATAGTAATTACAGCTGATTATGCTCAACGCTTTCCAAAATGAATTAATTATATGAAAATGATAATGTCTTATTTTATTGGCGCAATAACATTTGGTCGTTAGCCCATATTCGGGTGCACGAAAGACATTACTCAAATTCGGGTACCCGAAGCAATATTTACATTGGAATACGGGCTGGAAGACGGTGTCGGGTGAACAAAAGGCATACGGGCGTACACGACTCCGTTCATTTACACTTAGTCGTTTACCCGAATTCCATTGGCACTCGTTGGTATTCGGGCTAACGACTAAATGTAATCGCGCCATAACGATAGTTTAATTTACGTCATATATTTAGTTTTAAATTTTGTTTCTTGTGAAATAACACGATTAAGTATCCTTGTTTAACATGTTTAAATATACCGATGACAGTTTAAATAACATTACCTACCTTTTCGTCAATATTTGTTGCAATATTGCAATGTTCAGTTCCTAGAAATGCCATTAAAATAGCTCAACCAACTGCTAGCTTTACTGACACTTGATTTAAAATGGATTTTATTATGATATAATAACGCAAGCCAACGAACTGACAGTCTACCTATGGTTGGTAGTTATTGCAGCCCATAAGCACTTGCAGCAGCTTAAGTAAATTGAAAGAAATTAAATAAAAATTAAAAAAATATCCGAATAACGTCATTATACGAGTATTTAACATGTTACTTTAGTTTTAACATCAGATTCGTTGCAACTGGTCTGCCTAATTTGGACTGATTTTATTAGAAATCCATTTTTTTATTTTTTTAGACACACCAATTAGCTTAGCTCCAAGGTAAACACTAAAGCTTGTGCCGCGGTAAGCATGCGTGTTCGAGTTCGCGCGGCACCCGGTGGGCATCCAGTCGCGAATGCGCCGCAGCGACGACCGGACGGTGTGAATTGTTTTTAAGCAGCTAGCCGTGCTTAAACGTTTGTATTGTAAATATTTGATTGAATTAATTTGATACCTTCTTAATTTAATATGGCAAAGAGCAATAGTCGATATTGTACTGGTTTATACGAATGCGTATTTATTATACTTTTAAATTTAATAATAAAGTTTTTTGTACGTCTCAGTCGAGGCGTAAATAGTTTTCTGTCTCAAATCTATATTTTTTTATTAAATATTACACTTAAAATAACATGTATTTTATGTAACACTACCTAATTCATTCACAACATTTTTTTTACATATGAAATAAAATATTTACAATCACAAAACTAGAAAGAAACTCAATTACGTAGATGAAATTAAAATACTGTATGCGGGCAGCCCTACCGCGTGGATACGCCCCGCTCGGCCGTAGGCAGTTATTTCAAGGACAGGGCCGAGTCACAACACTGTATAGATAATATTACCGTGCCGTCACCGTGCTTACGTTATGGGATACTAGGATAACGGATAGAACACGTTTAATCATACATTATAAGCATTTTTATATAGAAATTCGTACAAATGCTCGTATTCATTATTCAAGCATTTGGCCCAACGGGATTCAAACCCGGGGCCTTTCAGTCAGTGACACTTTGAAACCCTGCATATATGCCACTCGTGGCACAGAGGCCGTCGTAGTCGTCGTTCGAATGGGTATTCCTAGGTTCACAATTGGACTCGGCAGGTAGCGCTGCAGTTGGACATAACAACGTCTGTATCTTCTAGCACCATACACAAAAATGGAGATCAACATGAAACATTATAAAATGTTTCTAATTTAAACCTTACCTTGCCGTGATTGCGTGGTATTCTCAATACCAGCCCTAGACTTAGTCCTATCAAGTATGCCGTCGACCGATGCAGAGTGGAGGTGTAGCTTATACGTGCTGTTCGATACAACTGACTGACACTGCAAAAGAACAATAAATGATCATCAGTCTTTTAATGTCCCCACTGCTGGGGCACAAGTCTAGCCTATGGATAGCATAGAAAGACTGGGTCATGATAACTCACCACGGGGTCACAGTGCAGATTAGTGGGTGTTTACAGCTGTAGATGCAGCCAGGCCATCGGATTAACGTGCCTTCTGATTGGGAAGCACTAAGGATATCGCGATAATACATTTTTGACCCACTTACTCTATTTATCTATCTTCACACTGAGTCAAGGTTTAGGATAGGCAGACTTACAGGTAGGTCCACTCACTCTATGACCAAATATTACGATTTTGTTAAATTACCCAAACCCATTAGGTGCTCCGTGAAATTGGAGTACAGTTCCGAAGACACAGCACATATAAAAAGTACCACTCCAGCCATTATCACCTTGCCAGCCTGAACTCAGTGAAGCTCTGGGATTTTACTCACCGACAAAAACCACTTAAAGATATTGTTATTTTACAATGCCTTCAAGCTTGTCTTTTCTTTCTTAAGTTGCTTAGCTTACACAATTGCAGATTAAACACACTTCCACTACGCTATCGAACTCCTCATTACATACTTTATATAATGTCACCTTTTTGACACAAAAAAAATATATAACGATCCAAACATTATGATGGTTATGAAGTTAGCAGCGAACGCAACTATGCGCAAGTTTCAGTTCAGTAACAACCACGAGCACGTACATCATCCTTCATTACAATTTTTGCGTCGTGACTTAATGGTTAAACTTAATGGTGGCTGTGAAGTTAGTGCAAACTTCACAGCCACCATTAAGTTTTATGCTAACCTTTTGATATCTACAAAACTGCTGAAATGATGATTTTACCTGACTCCATGGTAAGCTAGCATGGTGAGTCGGTGCTCCTTCACATTGCTGTATCTGGAATAAGTGGCATAACTCATGATGATCGGTATGCTGTATTTGGAGAAAGGTAGTTCTGACTGTATGGCCCACACTATGGCGACGCCTAAGATGGTTAGCTGCATATCCAAAGCCAGCTGATGAGTTTGTGGTGCGCACTGAAATAAAATAAATATATAATTGACTTCAAAAAATGGCATAGCGGGTTTTCCTTACGATTTGGAGCAAACGCATTAGAATTCGGAGGAAATAATCTAGCCACCACATCAGACACTACAAGACCGCAGTAAAATAAACTGCCTTTTGGTGTAGTTAGGTTTCAGAACTCCACAGAAAAAAATCCGTGGACGATACCAAATTTTTGGTAACCCATCCGATTACCGGCCATTGTGATTGTCATTTTGTAAGTTATAAGTATAACAATTTATCTGTATATTGTGTACTGTGCTGAATAAACGATTTTGATTTTGATTTTTTTTTTGATTTTGATTCAATACAAAAACTTTAATAACTTATATAAACACGAAAATACTGCTACATTATTTCTATCAAAAATGAAAACATCAAATTTCATTTATATGAAGATCAGTAGTCATCCTTACAAAAGGACATTGGGCAAAAATGTATGGACGCTGCACCCACGTCCGCCACGGCTTAAACTACATTTGTTTGAAAGGTATTACATTCATGATCATTTGTGCCGAAGCGCATCAAATTCTATCCCGGGAGTCTTTAGTTATTATAAGTTAAATAGGTACAAGTACTATAACGAACGAAGATAAATGAAACAAGGGATTTAATTTAGTTAGTTAGTTCGACACTTCATTGGGGGCTCAGATATTAGGGGAGTACTTCACAAGGTTCAAGGGTGCTTCCTTATGTTATTCTGCCGGACTAAAGTAAATACAAAAATCCCCGCACGGGTTGAGGTTTTTTTTTCAAACATTTTGTTCGTTATATCTGTCATTGTGTTAAACGGAGCGTCCACAAATCACCCAAACTTGTCCACGCTTCGGAGAAAACATGATTCCAGTTCATCAATACTAATTGACAAAACCGATAATCGTGTTCCAATATCCAGACACTACAAGACCGCAGTAAAATAAACTGCCTTTTGGTGTAGTTAGGTTTCAGAATTCCACAGCTATTGGGTTCAGGCCCGGAAGATGAGGGCGATTGGAACTGTTTTACCGATTTAGCTCTCTTCGTGCCTGCACTGTAGGTACTGTTCTCACATTTGACAGCAGGTGGGGTGATGTAAATTGCTGCGCCTTAAGTAGAAAATAAAAATATTCTAATTTTACATTTTTCCCTAATGATTAAATGCCTGGTCAATCAACCTTATAAATGAAGTTCTAAGTTCAACCAACAAGCTGCTACTGATGCTGCTGTTTATAATGCAGAGAACAGCGTTGCAGTATCATATAGGTGCAAGTGCTTTGGATTTAAACCCATATTATCCCATGCACGAAAAGGGTATTTGACAAGTTTTAGAAAACGATCTCACGTTATTGACTAATGTTTTTGGAGTCCGTAAAAAGTGGATATTCATCATTCTGTTGCGTATTTCAGTAAAAATAACCAAGTCATTAACTCCATTTTCAAGTTGCCGCGAAAACGTTTCTCTGGACAATATGGTGTCTTACTAGTGTGTGACGTCACACGACTGTTATTAAAACGTCAAACGATACATTGTAATGTCACTTTTACCGGAAGTTTACTTGCGTGTGACGTCATTTTAGGCTCCGCCAATCCCAAGCGTTTTGGGTCACGTGACAATAGATAAGAAAACTATTATATTTTTCGTGGGTTTTTAGTAAAATTATGAATATTTTTTTGTAAAAATAGTAAAAACCCCTGCCAATAATAATTCTAAACACAGATGCTAACAATTGGCACTTTATTTATTGGCGTCGATTAGTGTAAATTATAAATTGCTACTATTCCCACACAAGGTAAAAGCGCTAGTACTCCTCTCTTTCTTTTTGCATAAACATCTTTTAACTCTTACCATGTCTTCGAACCCGAAGTAATTTTGCACGTACAGCAGATTCCACCACCAGCCCCCTTGGCAGACTTCAGCATTCTTGGTGACCAGGGTGCCCCACATGGGCCCCTCCGATATGTCATCCCAAACATACGCGTAGAATAGCACCACAGCGAGGAGAGCTGGAGTCAATCTAATAACATATGACGTATATGGATAATAGGGGTGACGACGGGGTAAAGTAAACGAAATTCTATTTAGTCCGTCAGTTAGATGATGAAAAAATAATGGACACGTATTTTTTCTTTGGCCAATTAACCAAAAAAAAAGGCCGAGATAAAGCGCGTCAAAGTTTGGAAGTAGGGTCTCGTGACGTCACTTTTAAGTGAAAATTGTACCAAAATGTGACGTCATGTGACTTTTCAAATCAATATATCTCTGCAATGTTTATATTGTGTGAAAAAATAAAATATACGTGTCCAACAATTTTTGATAATCTACCTGATAAACGAAGAAAAAAAATTAGTCGTCATCCCTATTTGCTTCTTTATATTAAAATCGAATTCTAAGTAATTTATGACGAATGGTTCGTACGCCGGGTTTCATGGTGTCACCGCCCGACTCGAATGGTCCCGAGTTTCGAATCCCGGTGGGGGCAGATGTTTGTGTGATGAATACGAGCATTTGTACTCCAGTCATGGATGTTAAATTATGTATTGTATATATATATAAATATAGTTATATATGTACAGTATATGTTTTCCATCCGTTGCCCTAGTATATCCCATAAGACAAGCCTTAAAGTGCTAACTTTGGGGCTAGGCTAATTGGTATGTTGTAAAAAAAAGTAGAAGAAAATTTTACTAGAAAAAATTATACAACGTCCAGGCATGAGACAGAATTCGAACCTGCGCCTTCCATACATGACGCAATTTCTTATAGTATGCAAGGTAGCGCCATACTATTCGAATTGTAGGTAACCCACAATGTCAAACGTAATACTCCAAAAATAATTATAAATCTAGCCGTAGCAGCGGCTCAAAAATTAAAAATATAATAACATTTATTCAATTTTGGCTTTAAAAAAAAACACGTAAGAAACTCGAAAACTACACCATTGGAATGCAAGTCTACGGCTGGAGTCCTTTTACCGACAAGCACCGGCAAAATACAAGCTTACGGTAAGGTATCCTTAAACCTTCAATCTCTATATATATATAAAACTCAAAGGTGACTGATTGACTGACATAGTGATCTATCAACGCACAGCCCAAACCACTGGACGGAACGGGCTGAAATTTGGAATGCAGGTAGATGTTATGACGTAGGCATCCGCTAAGAAAGGATTTTGATCAATTCTACCCCCAAGGGGATAAAATAGGGAATGAAAGTTTGTATGAAACTTTGTCAATTTTAAACCGATCGGGCTGAGACTTTGCATGCAGGTATAAGAAGAATCATAGATTAATGTCATTGAGTATAATACAAGCCTGAGAACAAAAACTGTAGTCTACACTTCAGCTCTACACCGAAGCGAAGCGAGCGCGGGCCGCTAGTGCTAAATAAACAAATCAAAAGAGTCTAGGGACCAAATAGTTATGAAATTTACGTAGGTATTGGATAAATTTTCCATATTTTTTTTCCATTATTAAACAGAGTTAATGGATACGTTGTTTACAATTCCTTACTTACTTACTAATACATAGAAATTGAGTTTATTATGTTTAAAGGGTGAGCCATACGATTGTATGGGCCGCCCGAAGGCAAGCACCTACAACAGCCTATAGCGAGACCAAAAATTTTACTCGCACCGTTGTCTACTCTGGCCCAATCCCCTACCTACGACAGAAACACAAAACCAACAGGTAGTGTTATTTCACTGTGGTTTTCTGTAAGGCGGAGGTAACTTCCCCAGACGGGCGTTCCAATTCGAGCGTGAAATTTGCTATGCCTTTAAGTATATCTGATAAAGTGACTTTCTTAAATATTGATGAAATAATATTTTATTATATATATGTATATATTTTTTTTAAAGCATGTAACTGCTTGATGTTTAAATCTAAAGAAAATATAGCTAGAAAAAAATCCACGCGGACCAGGCAGCAGGCGGGACTTGAACCCGCACCCTTCGGAATCCGGGCGAATGCACTGACCAATTATGCTACCGCGGCCCTCACGGACCGCGTCGAAATTCCTCTACCCATTCTTAAGCTACAAGGCAGCGCCATCTCTTCGCATTATAGGTAAACCACAATGTCAAATGAATACTTTTACAAGTATTAAACATTTGAAAGAAGAAATAGCAATTATAGTTATATTTTTTTTAAAGCATGTCACTGCTTGATGTTTAAAATAAATAAATATAGCTAGAAAAAAATCCACGCGGACCAGGCAGCAGGCGGGACTCGAACCCGCGGCCTTCGCAATCCGGGCGAATGCACTGACCAATTATGCTACCGCGGCCCTCATGGACCGCGTCGAAATTCCTCTAGTCATTCTTAAGCTGCAAGGCAGCGCCATCTCTTCGCATTATAGGTACCCCACAATGTCAAATGAATACTTTTACAAGTATTAAACATTTGAAAGAAGAAATAGCAATTAAAGTTATATTTTTTTTAAAGCATGTAACTGCTTGATGTTTAAATCTAAAGAAAATATAGCTAGAAAAACTAAACTTTCGATATATATAAAAATATTGACTTAAATATAAGTCTTGCTGATTGATGAAAACACGCTGGCTTGTAGCAAAAATATAACGAAAAGTAACCTATTTGAAAAACTTTTAAGAAGAAAAGTTTACTAGAAAAAAATCCACGCGGACCAGGCAGCGGACGGGACCCGTTTTCTTCAGAAAAAACTTTTCTTTAGATTTAAACATCTAGCAGTTAAATGCTTAAAAAATAAATAAAAAATAACTTTTAAGAATAAAAAAAAGTTAAGTAGAAGATAAAAATAATCAACTTTATTAACAGCCTGAGTCAAATTAATACGCTTCGTTCTCCAAACGAATGTACAAAATCTAAGAGGAAATCTAATAAAGTTAAATTATAATACCTATTACGATAAGAGCATTAATGTAGCTGAACTTAAAACATTAATAAAAATACGCATTTCTGTTCTTGATCCTTAAATCAAAAGTCATTCAAGTGTTTCGTGTCGCTTTTTTAGGCTCCCCAGATGTCCCCGGAATACAAAGAAGTGCCACTTAAGGAATTCGACAGGGAAAAGGTCACGAGTTCAAGCTCCATCTTAAAGCCTGTTGGTTTCTCAAGTATTTCCACAAAAGCACTATTATATTTTCAGCTCTTCGCTTAATTACGTATACAAAACTTTTGTACAGTCTAAAAATAATTCAAAATTTTGTTACATATCTAGGTATCCTAATGAGGTATTCGAAAACTATAACTTAAAGCGCCGCACAGTGGTCCGGACTTTTAAAATAGTGGACTTAGGATCAAAGTTGCAAAGTTCAGCTACCTATTAAAAATTGTAACTATCAATACTGTAAAAAAATATTTACGAAAAAACTGTATGGGAGAAAATCTATTTTATTTTTTTTCTTGGTAGGTTAGCAAAAGGTAGCAGTCAAACCTTATATGGTGGTGAGGGACTATTGACCTTGACCCAACAACACCAAAATTTTGTGTGTATCCTTGCGGCCTTGGGGCCAGCAAAATTTAGAGTTAGTTATTTTCGTACCTGTTCTTTCTCTACTTATTTTACGCATTTTCAATTAAAAATAATTTTGAATGTCTTATAACATAACATAACAATATTTAACAAAACAAATCTTAAAAAGTTCGCAATTAGACATATGGATGAGTATTTTATACTTAACAAATTATGTAAGTAAGTTTATTATAAGCCGCTTGATCTTTGTACCTAGATTAGGCGCACTTAATGCTTATTGTCACTCTCTCAAAAAAGTCGATCGCATGCGTCATTGTTGGTTAGTGCATTGTTATCGGCAGATGCGCAGTTAAATTTTTTACCTGGTTAGGCTACTTTGGAAGGTAGGCACCCTTCTATCGATAACACATTGTTTTGTTGACTCAAATACACTTCCCTCGCTCAAAAGAGTCAGTGTTACAGTTGTTCAAAATGCTTTGTTCGGAAACAAGAAGAAAAAAACTTTTGATCAGGATCATGCTCTAGCCCTCTATACATTATTGAATCTGTCTAAGTGGAAGTACTTGTGTTTAAGAATTGTGCTAGCTGACTATGGTGTACCTTTTCTGCCCTCTTGTCATAAACTACTTGAAGCTAAAAACAACTGCTATCCAGGGGACTTAGAGATAACTGAAAGGGGTGCTAAAGTGAAACTTCAAGCATTATTGGATTTGACAGTCAATAGAATTCTTCAAGTTGTTGGTGTTCCAGTGAATTCATCAGTTGAGGGATTAAAGTTGATTAGCAAATTTGGCTTTGATGGAGCTTCTTCACAAAGCATCTACAAGCAAAGAAGTGAAGATGCAAACTTCGATGACTCTTCAATTTTTATGGCAAGCCTTGTCCCCCTCAAACTCGCTTCCAATCAGGGCACTATAATACGAGAAAATCCGAAGCCTTCTTCTACAACTTTCTGTAGGCTTATCAAGTTTGAGTTTTGCACGGAGACTGTGGAATACATCAAGCGAGAAGAAACTGCATTAAAAGAGGAGATAGATAACATAACTTCAACGAAGTATGCCGGATTGGATATAGCTCATCACTTCATATGACAATGATTGACGGGAAAGTGGGCACTATTATTACGGATACACCCTCTGCATCAACCTGTACAATTTGTCTCTTGCGGAGCCAACTGAGATGAATAAGTTGCCAGAGATATTTTCAAGATCAGTTCGTGAAGATGTTTACAAATACGGGATTTCTTCTCTTTACATGTGGATCCGGTGCATGGAATGTCATCATCATCATCAACAGCCTATCATAGTCCACTGCTGGACATAGGCCTCTCCAAATGCATGCCACTCAGATCGATCTTGGGCTACTCGCATCCAGCTCCTGCCAGCCACATTGCGCAAATCGTCACTCCATCGTGCCTGAGGACGTCCTACACTACGTTTGCCTAGACGCGGTCACCACTCCAGAACTCGTCTACCCCAACGATTATCGGTTCTTCGGCAAATATGGCCAGCCCACAGCTACTTCAACTTTGCTAATCCGGTGGGCTATGTCGATAACTCTGGTTCTCTGTCGGATCACCTCATTTCTGATGCGATCCTTTAGAGAAACGCCGAGCATAGCCCTTTCCGTAGCGCGCTGAGCGACTTTGAACCTGTGGACCAGCCGTACCGTCAGTGTCCACGTCTCGGCTCCGTATGTCATCACAGGTAGGACGACTGATTGAAGACTTTGGATGTATATGGTCCAACCTAGCTGAACTCTTCTATTCACCTCGTCCTCAAAGTTGTTTCTACCTAACTGCAATGTCTGCCCGAGGTATACATATGTTTGAACAACTTTGAGAACGGCACCGTGTATTGCAATCGGTTCCGGTAGAACATGTTCATTGAAGATGACCTTGGTTTTATCCAAGTTCATCCATAGGCCGATGCGTACAGAAGAGTCAGCCAGGTCATTCAGCATCAGTGGTAGGTCCTGCAGGGATTCTGCCATGATGACGATGTCGTCTGCAAATCGCAAGTGAGAGATGCGTTCGCCATTTATGTTGATGCCATGTCCTTTCCAGTTCAGCGTCTTGAACATATCCTCCATTGCATTAGTGAACAATTTCGGGGAAACAACGTCCCCTTGTCTCACTCCACGATACAATGGTATGGGACTTGTTTGCTGATTCTGTACTTGGACAGACATGGTGGCGGCTTCGTAGAAACATCCCATCACTTGGATGTATCGCCAGTCGACTTGGCAACGCTGCAGGGACTCCAGGATAGACCAGATTTCAATCGAGTCAAAGGCCTTCTCATAGTCCACAAATGCTAGGCACAGGGGCTGATTGTACTCCTCAGTCTTCTGTATAATCTGCCGCACTGTGTGGATGTGGTCTATGGTGCCGTATCCGCTCAGAAACCCAGCCTGATCCGGTGGTTGGAAGCCATCAAGTCTTCGCGCAAGACGGTTTGTGATCACTCTTGAGAACAGCTTATAGACGTGGCTTAGAAGGGATATGGGTTCTTAAGTAGGGTCTTGTCCCCCTTTTTAAAGAACAAGACGACCACACTCCTACTCCACGCCTCCGGAGTTCTCCCTTCGAACAGGACTGTGTTAAAAAGCTTTTGGAGCTCCCTCAGTACGGGTTTACCTCCAGCCTTTAAGAGTTCTGTTGTAACACCATCGTCTCCAGGGGCTTTTCCATTTTTAAGCTGTCCAAGAGCAATCTCGATTTCACCAATACTGACTTCTGGCAGGTCTTCGGTGAAGTGGCGTGTTAATATGGCCTCATTTCCGGGATCGGGTCGAGATGCATGTGATGCGAATAGCTGGCTGGAGAAATCTTCCACTTCCGAAAGGACTGCCGGCTTTGAAGCAACAACTTCCCCACTTGCTGTGGTCAACTTCGTCAGATGGCTTCTTCCAAGAGATTGTACAAACACTTTGGACCCTCGATTCTGCTCAATCGCTCTCTCGATCGAAATAGTATTGGAGCATCGGAGGTCGTGTCGTACGTGCTTACTGATCTCTTGGTTTAGAGTCCGCTTTGCCGACGAAGTGACAGGTGGATTTTCACGTCTTTCCTTCATTAGCCTTAAAGTCTTTTCCGAAAGCTTTGACTTCCTGCCCCTACGCTGCGTTGCACATAGTCTCGTACCCTCTTCCCTGAGGATCTGAACCACATTTTCGAGGTTTTGGTTTACGTCTGATGTGGTTTCCACGGCAGCAAATCGGTTCTCCAGATTTGACTGGAACGTTTCAGATCCTGTTATAGATTGGAGCAAAGTAGGTTGGAGCCTAGATCTCATCAAACGGACGCGCTCGGCCTTAAAGTTGATATTCAGAGAGCCCCGGACGAGTCGGTGATCACTACCGGTATTGAACCTGTTGATCACGGAGACATCTCTGAATATGTACCTCTTGTCCGTCATGATGAAATCGATCTCATTTTTAGTCAAAGTGTCGGGGCTTTGCCATGTCCACTTCCTTTGGGGCTGTTTCTTGAAAAAAGAGTTCATCAAGAAGAGCCCCTGCTGTTCGAGGAAGTTGACGAGCATTTGCCCCCTATGATTTCTGCTTTCAAATCCATGGGATCCTACTACCGATTCGCTGCATTTCTTTACTCCCACTTTAGCGTTGAAGTCCCCCATAACAACGTTGTAGTGGGTCTTAGTAGTGGAGTGGAGGGCCCTCGATATATCATCGAACATATCCTCCACTTCGTCGTTAGAATGTGTCGAGGTCAGTGTGTACACTTGCACCACCTTGAGGCTATACCTCTCGGTAAGCTTTATAATAAGGTACACTACCCTGTTCGACACGCTGGACATTTCCACAGCGTTATCGGCAAGGGACTTATTTACCAAAAACCCAACGCCACCTTGGGACTGTTGGTCTCCCCCGCGGAAGTACATTAGATGGCCGGATTCGAGGGTTATGGTGTCCTCCCCCTCTCTTCGGACTTCACTTAACCCTAAAATGTGCCACCTTATCTTTCCAAGTTCCACCTCGAGTTGCGCGAGATGCGAGTCAAGCCGTAGCGTGCGTCCGTTGTACTTCGCCAGGGTCAGTTTCTTGTGGTGGCCTCCCGTAGCCCGGAAATTCTTGGCACCCCCCGCCCCACCATTACCGTGGTCGCCACCGTGACCAGGAATAGCGGGGCTGCCGGGAACTGGGGGCCGTGGCTTGTGTTTCTTGTGCATAGAAGGTTTTGCCCATAATCGCCACGCTGGGCAGGCGGGTTAGCGACGCAGTGCGTCGGTTTATTTACTGATGACGCTGCTGCCCGTCACCAGTGAGATTTTCCTCCCCTACGTCGTTAGATGGTTATACCGCCATCGGTCGGTTCGCCAGAGCCTCGTCTGTTGGTCAACAGGGTGCAACCACGTGAAGGTGAGGTTGGCTTGGGTTCTTGCAGGTGTATTTAGAACCCCTTGCACCCCCATGGAATGTACTCTATATCATACAACTTGGACTTTAAGATATGGAGTGCACGAAGTACTAACAAAGAACTGAAAGCGGTGAAGAAGCAAATGATACAAGAAGAATTCAAGCAAAAAATGGGTATACTTGTCGATTTCGTGAAACAAGGATTTGGGACTACAAACGACGGAAATATGGCCAGAAGATTTTTAGAGATTATGAAAAATCTGCGGACATAATCAACATTGACAAACATCTTTTAAAACGTTTTGCAGTTATACTACAAACAATTTCTTCTGGAAGTGCCATCAACATTGAAAAATTTAGGATTTATTGCCGTGAAACAGCAGAACTTTTCAATCATCTTTATCCATGGTTTCATATGCCAGCAAGTGTACACAAACTTATTATACATGATGCAGATATTTGTCGTCACTTTGAACTTATTCCAATTGGAATTCTCTCTGAAGAAGCTGGTGAAGAAAGAAACAAAGATTTTCGAAGAGTTCGTGAATGTAACACAAGAAAATTTTGCAGAAAGCAAACCAACAAAGACTTGCTTTATAACTTTTTGATAAGTTCGGACCCATACTTATCACATATTCGATCCAAGTACGAAAGAACAAAGCGATTGGACCTTTTTCCAGAAGCAGTGGACCTTTTGCAATCGAATGACGAGTCGTCAGAAAATATTGAGAACATAGATCACAGGAATCGCAGCCCGACAATGACCTATTATTATGAAAATCCTTTTGAGTATTTTACGAAGTTTGTGTTATTTTTTTATCAGACAAAATATAAAGAAAATTGTATTTAATGTTAAAGGGTAATAGGAAAATGTAAGAGCAAATAAGATAAATCCTTATCTCATTTCCTATTCCATTTTAAATAAATGTAGATTTAATGAACTACTTACACGTTTGGTGCTTAACATATACCATGTTAATTTATGAGCTTTAATTTTGGTTTCATGCTTATTTTTTTTTAATATGTCTTAAATTACTTTTAGTTACTAAGAATTAGAATTTTATTAAAAAAAATGTATTTTAACTTATTCTTGTTTGAATTTATTCTGTATTTTACTGCAAATATTAACTTTATTAATAATTCATTATAAGACATAATTTTAATAAAACTATTGATTGGAAAAATATGTGTTTTATTGGTACAAAATACACAAGCAATATGTCTTAACTAACTTGTATTGCGAACTTATTAGGATTTGTTTTATTTAATAAGATATTCAAAATTATTTTTAATAGAAAACGCGTAAAATAAGTAAAAAAAGAACAGTTATGAAAAAAATAACTTTGCTGGCCCTAAGGCCGCAAGGATACGCACACAATTTTAATGTTGTTGGGTCAAGGTCATTAGTCCCTCACCACCATATGAGGTTTGACTACAACCTTTTGCTAACCTGCCAAGAACAAAAATAAAAAAGATTTTCTCCCAAACATTTTTTTCGTAAATATTTTTTTAAAGTATGAAGGAGTCATTTTCGTGAAAAAAAGTGTCAAATAATATTAATCAGCATTTAATTTACTATCAATTACAATTTTTTATTAGCTGAAATTTGCAACTTTGATCCTAAGTCCACTATTTTAAAAATCCGGACCACTGTGCGCCGCTGAGCAGCAAGAAGCAGTCTATGATACAACCATAACCTCTGTCGGTCCGCTAGTATTGGACAAACTACCAGAAGTATCTCTGGCACAGTCTCCAGGGCGCCGTTGTGTTGTTCCCGGCCCAGTGCGCAGTGAGGGCGCCACTGATCAGCAGGAAGCAGTCCGTAATACAACAATAACGTCTGTCGGGTGAACTAGTATTGGAAGAACTACCAGATGTATCCCTGGAAGAGTCTCCAGGGCGCCGTTGTATTGTCTCCGACCCGGTGCGCAGCGAGGGTGCCGCTGAACAGCAGGAAACAGTCCTTAATACAACTATAACGTCTGTCGTGTAAGCTAATATTGAACAAACCACCTGATGTATCTCTGGAATAGTCTTCAGTCCGCCGTTTTATTTCCCCCGCCCGAAACGCGGTGAGAGTGTTACTGAACAGCAGAAAGAAGACCGTGATATAACCATAAAATCTCTCGGTCCACTAGTATTGCACATACTACCTGAGGTATCTCTGGAACAGTCTCCAGGGCGCCGTAGTATTGTCCCCAGCCCGGTGCGCAGTAAGGGCGCCGCTGAGCAGCAGGAAGCAGTCCGTAAACACCCAGCCCGCGCGCCACCATGACCACAGCGGGGAACTCACTGTCTACAATCATAAATTATGCTTTACTAATGCGGGTGGTGGTGTCGACTAAGGCCTCTTGATGACAGCCGTAGTTTAACCGGACCGATGCGATATAATTGTCTTTGTCTGGCAACGCATCGGTAAGAAGAAAAAATATAAATCACCGGCCCGGTGTCCAGTAAAGTAACAATCATTAACAAGCTGTAGAAATTTATAGGTCCGAGGAAATGAAATACTCAGAATGAAAATGACTTAATTCAGAGAAGAAGTAGAGATTTTTTACTAAGGTGAATTTGTAGCATACTCAGTTATCAGGATTCATTTTTTGAGTTGGGTCATTTCATTCGAGTGGTGATGATGTTAAAGTAATTGTGGAATCCAGACGCGGAGGCAGTTGGTGCAGCAGTTTTACCTGCCATGCCAGCCATCCTCACTGTGTTGTAGACGGAAAGGAACGTGACCGGGCAGATAGTGCGACACTAAATGATTCACCATATTTTTTTTGCATATAGTTAATGACCTGAATAGAGACATAGGATACTTTTATCCTGAAAAATGATAGGTTCCGGAGGGATTCTCGAAAATCTAAATACAGCTCAGACGAAGTCGCGAGCGGCCGCTAGTGGTGATGATTATTTATTGCTAAAACATTAACAAGTTTCATATCCAGTACTAGGGTAAAAATTTAACTCTAAAAATTAATGAAAAATAACAAATTGGCATAAAAATAGGTAACGCCTTTAAAATTAAATGACAAATTTCGCACACTGTGACTGTTGCTACGTATTGGCGGCAGGAATCTGAGGCCAAGTTTACATCTACAACTTCAGCTCAGAATAATGGTCTGCAGCATAAATAAAGATCCTTTGGCAGATAATACTGTAAATGTTTTAGTGTATTTTGCCATAAAAAGGAAATAATGTCATAACACAAGGTATCCGTAAGTACCTAATCTATTTTTTTATTAAGAGCATGATATTTTTAAAGCAAAGCTAAGTTTTGTTGTAAGTACGTTAAACAATCTAGATTATCTTTTCAGATAAGAGCAATGTTTGTTACTTTTATAGTTTGGAAACTTCGAACAAAACCTTCAGTGGACAAGTCCGGCTCGAACCCTGTTCCTTTTTCATTATCGTTTATTTCCAAATTTATAAACTTTTACCGCAGACATATTTTCTAATGTTTCTTTGTTTTACTTTCTAATTTTGATAATTATATTACTTTTTGAGCAAGTAAGTATTACGTTCATAGCGAGGTTATGTCTATACTTAAGTTCTATGTAGGTACATAACTTTTGCAACAATATCAAAGTGGCTTATACAAAATTCTGATTCAGAAAATTGGGTACTATTTACACAGAAGAATAAAGAATTTGTGAATACATTAGCGGTCTACAAACAGAACGGAGGACGTGAAATGGATAGGTATTTACTTAGCACCTAAAAGGCAAAAGGCCTTATCTTGTTATTTTGAGAGGGAAGCCTAGCCTACTGGGAATATTGATATGAATTTACTTACCGCTTCTATATATTTTTCTAATAAAAAATATTAAAGATACTAAAATCTGGCAGTTTAATCGTTACATAAAGGTCCCACGGGCACCAAAAGAGAGGTCCAATGGGCACATCGTATATATTTATTTTAAGAAGGTCCAATGGGCACCAAAAAAGTGGTCCAATGGGCACATTGAATATAAAACTTTTTAAGAAGGCCCAATGGACACCAAAAAAGAGGTCCAATGGGCACTTTTTGCTTTTGGGTCGAATCTTGAGGGTCCAACGGGTACTAGACCAAATAAAATTATTAAAAAAAAAACTAGCAGGTATGTAGTATTTTTTATTTTAATTTTAAGTTTTAAACAGTTTAAATCCCAAAATTTGAATTTTTCAATAGATTGAAACACTAAAAATACCTTACTTGTACATGACCCGACCTTGATCTCATTAGAGTTTTGTCATATCATTACGGAGTATAGGTGAGTCATTTGGACATCATCGGAGGAGCAAGGCAAGCCAACAATACACGCTTGGAGCGCTGCCAATGTTAACAAATCGACTAACAGCCGAACAAATTTTATTTCTACGCTAGGTAGTAATCACTTACTGTATCTTAAGACATATGTATAGATAATACAAAAAAGTATTTGTATTTAATAATGGCTAGTGTTGAACACATGAAGTGAAAGGAAATGTTGTAGTGGTAGTTGGTTTCCGGCAGCGACGTAACATATATCAGAAAGCTTGTTTTATAGAAAAAAATCCACGCGGACCAGGCAGCGGACGGGACGGGCCTGGTCCGCGTGGATTTTTTTTTCTAGTAAACTTTTCTTTAGATTTAAACATCTAGCAGTTGAATGCTTAAAAAATAAATAAAATCATAGCTTGTTTTATATTATTATTATATCATGAACAGAAACTTTTATTTTTTGATTTAACCACGATTATTTTTAAATCGTGTTTAAAAATTTAACAATTTTGTAAGGATATTGGCCAGGGTAGCCAATATCCATGCAATCATAAGTAACGCCATATTTTTTGTATGTGTTACCTTAAGACGTCAACTAAATCACTATGGCAAATGTAAATCAGTCCAGTCATGCATAATATTCGTGATGATTTCAATAAAGATATTATACCAATTAATAATTGATCTTTCATGAAACAAAATACCTACAAATTGCCTAATAATGTAATGAAAGATGAACAGAATAATTTTCACCGATTTAGTTACCTATAGAATAGAATATATTTGAATAGAATAACAAAAAATAAATTAATAAACTTGCCATTTGCCCATCAATAATTATAAAGTTTATTATTATAATAATAGTTTAAATAAACGTGAAACAAATTAATTTCAGTTTTCTAGCAAACGATTAACTATTAACTGCACTACATCTCATAAAAAAATTGCGTCTGCTGGAGACTCACTACTACCCTCCATACAAATTTTAGTTGTTTACGATAATGTTTGAAATGCGAGGAAAAGAAATACTTACCTAGTTTTCTGTGTTAGTTACGAATGAGGGTATATTCTTTTTATACAGATTTCAAATTAGCTTAATAAATGTAATTATATCATGTTCTTCAATTATCAAGTCAAATTGCGTATTTGTTCCAGTATTTTTTTCGCTATTATCTTTCTTTTACTATACCAAATTAATATTATGTTAAAAATTATATCTTTGTTACACTCTTGCTTCCAGTGATAAATACATTCAGCAAAATTCAATTCTAAATATAATTACATTTATTTAATAACTACTTGAACGTCATTACCATTTGTAGCGTAACTTAATTTCAAACACGTATTTACTTATTCCATTCTGATTTGACAATATGAATAAATCTTAATAAATTCACCAAAATGGCGTTGTTGAATCGAGCGGGGTTTTCTGAAATGTCGTCGCATAAACATCGATAGAATCAGGACTGCAAACAACACTATAGGGTGCGATCATACGCACGACGGACGAAGAACTACGCAATGCAATAACTCCGTATAAGGTAAAATCACGGTAAAAGTGCGGCTTAGTGGGTGTATGAATGAAGGCAGATGCAGCATAGACGGCTCCACGTGTTAAAGGATGAGGTCAGGATAGTTTACAGCGTGAGTCTCTGGTACTAGTTCTGATACTACAGGCGTTTATAGACGATGGTAGCCGCTTACGCAGCGTATGGTAGCTAGCTTCTAACATACCAATTTAATATTAATGCATGTGTGAGTGCATATGTGGTAGGAATGATTTTAATAAAACGTACTTTCACGAAAATCCTAGCGATTTTGTGAAAACGCAGATAATTAGGCAATGGCGATGGCATTTCTCAATCTTACTAAAAAAAGATAGGATTTGCGAAAACGCGAGTCGTCATCGTCGCGACTCATGGGCTTGTTATAAATATTCTTGGGTTGTTTGGTTTTCACTAGGTCAGGTTAGGTTAGTATTGTGACCATGACTCGCAAGCAGAGCGAGCGTAGCGAGCGTGGCGCGGCAGCGGCCGGCGAAGTGCCCGAAAAAATCAGTAACACTAAGATTGAGCAATGTCATTAACATTGTCTAATTTATCCGTGTTTTCGCAATATTTCTATGTTTTTAACGAAAATTCGATTTATCAAATCTGCCTACGACACATACAAAATTTTAATTAAATGAAAATGCCTCACCTCTGTTATCTTCAGCCTGTTTGTATATGGCGTGACGGCGACAGGTAAGAACTTGTGTGCCACCAGTAGGGCCAGGGTGGCCAAACCTCTGATGCCGTGGATGGAAGACACCTCGTCATCAGTGCATGGAGCTATAAGCTTGCCCACTGACCGGTACAAGGAGAACGCCGACAAAACACCATCTGTAAACAAACATGATATTACATGTAGTATATTCTAGAGAGGAGCTCGATGCCGCTTATGCTTAGCGTGTTTGGCTTGCGATCGTGGAAATTAAGTAGCTTTCACAATGGCTGATCATTGGATGGGTGACCAAAAACTTATTATCTCGAGTTCCTCTAAGACCGTGACTCAGAAGGCACGTTAAGCGATTAGTCTCGGCTGCATCTGCAGTCGTAACCACCAAGTCATAGTCTGCAACCACTCCTATTCCATCCATAGGCAACACAATTTATTTGTTTGATAGGGAAGGTCTGTGCCAGGCCAGCAGCAGTAGTATTCTAAAAAAAATATCCGCCCTGATAGCCGAAAGGTACAGGTTGTCCTGTCCGATACCAGCCCCGATGGAAGTCCTTATTAATAAAATGTTCTATACATATTACATTCACTCTTAAGGTAGACTTTTTTGATTCGCATATTTTTTATTCCTAATTTACGTAATTGTATTTTGGCTACATCCTAATCTATGATTTTGGCACTTACCTTTTTAATGAAACTCTTTAGGTATTTCTAATCAACGAAGTATTGCAATTAAATAAGGCAACAAAAATGTAATAATGTTCCGAAAATGATTTGAAATTCAATTCACAGGATTATCAGTTGGTGCTGGTATAAGAAATACCTTAATGATTTTCACTTTGAAAACTCAACTGAGTTTGAAACTCACAACTCACAAACACCGTGAATTTTGTTATTAATAAACGAGTTTTATTATGGAATTTCATTAAAAACTTGTTGAGCGCACAATTTTGTCGTAACTTGACACAATTTGCCCTTTATGCACTTATAAAGGTGCTGACAATAAATTGACGTAATATCTTCATTTGAGCTTATAAAATATTTAATGAAATTTTGGCTATGATACAATTCATTTTTTTTAATACTTTCGAGAATTTCAAGCTAGTTTTGTAGATTTTTCTACATAATATACGACTTTTCGAATCCTTTTCCTGGGACTGGCTGGTCGCACTGAGGGTACTACATAGTACAGAAAAATAAATTTCAGAGGCGATAACTGGACAACTTTTCTTTGGAGTTCTCTGCTTGGCCTATTTTGAAGAGTAAGCTATCGATAAAACCCTTACATCCCATTAAACGACAGTGGCTATGAAATAAAAAAAATCAGGAATGCTGAGATAACCTTTTTAAAAATGAAACTATTTTTCATGATCTTCATATACAATATACATATTGTCGTACTATTTGCAAGTGGAGTTCTTTGCCCGCGCACGTGTTAAGCCCCCTTCCTACAATCTGGGATCCTTAAGAGAGGCGTAAAGAAGCATTTCTGCAGGGCGGCAAGATGAGGATGATTGGTGTGGCAGCTTCTAACTGCTTTACCAGCTATCTTCGCGTCTGGACTTTATCACCACATAACATCAGGTGGGGTCGAGTCATTTGTCAACTATAAAAAAAATAACTATATGGAGATCACGAAAAATGGTTTAATTTTTCAAATTACAGACTAATTTTAAATTATTTTTCATGTTTCATATCGTTTAGGATTAATCACAACCCTAGTACTTATAATACCTTTCTTTTCAGGAACCGGTTCTAATTCTTCCTGTTTTTCCCCTTCCCTATTATGCTGCGCGTTTGTTTCACCATCTTCCGTTTCTTCCGACTTTCTTCCAGAAAAGAAGTCTTGAACAGTTGCAACAAACACCAGCAAAACGACAACAGCATATAGAGACCTGCACATAAATAAACTATTTATATTTACATCGATTTAATCTTAAGGAAGGTATCAAACTGCAGAATATGTCCGTCAAAAAATGTAGTTTCACCAAAGTTTCTTATTTAAAACTTATAAGTTTTCATTTTCACAAATAACCGTCCTGACTGACAAAGATACTTTCTGTAACTTTAACTAGGAGGTGCTTGACAGCACAGTAAGTAGCTCATTCTGCGATCGTCGAAGTTAAGCGACTTTCTCATTGACCGTTCATTGGATGACTGAATAAAAACTTATTTTCTCGAGTTTCTCCGTGCTCTGAAAAGTGCGTTAAGCCATGAGTCCGCCTTCTGTATCTCCAGTCTCGAGCACCGACCAATCCGCACAGGGCCCACGTGTTGAGTCTTGGCCTATTCTGCCCATGCCTTCCACGGTAAAGGCCTGTGCCCTAGCAGTGGAGACATTAATGAGTAGATAATGATGATTGCCAAACTTACAATGTCAATATCGTGGGTAGTTCCAGCCAGTTCTCCCACCAATCGGCGTCATGTGTATGGCAGTCCTTTTGATCAACCTTGATCCTGACCACTAGGCCACTGGTGTGTTGGTAGTGCTTCAGGGCATCCTTCAGCACCACCTCCACGTCGTCAGGCGAGCATGCCGTGGGCACACACACGCCCCAACTCAGCGTCGTAAAGCGGGGCACGAAGTGACCTGGCTAAACAAAGCATGACTACGCTTAGTGCTGTCACTTTGAAATTAAAAAGCCTATAAAGTTTTCCCTTCGTGTACAAACTCAAACCCTAATTTACTAACAACAAATCAGACTCAATCAATACTTTTGCTACTGCAAGTTCTATTGGACTCTATCGTCAGGTGCCATGGTATGGGCACGCACACGCCCCAGCAGTGCTATGCTGTAAAATTTTCACGCGCGGATCCGGTGCGGATGTGAAAATTTAACAGAATAGCAATGCAGCTCAGCGTTTAAAAGTGAGGCACAAAGTGACCTGGCTAAACAGAGCACTTCTACGCTCAGTGCTGTCCCTTTAAAAGATACATTTACCTAAAATCAAAATAAACTCAGCCAATTCTAACCGTCGGCGTCGTATTTATAAACAAGTAACAGTAATTACTCCTGCTTAAGTAATTACTTGAGGAACATTTTTCAATTCATAATTAAGAATTAGATCAAAGTAAATACTGTCAAAAATGAGAATTCTTAACCAAGAAATAGAAACCATTTTCGTTGCTAAATAACCATTTTAGTGCAGTCATTGAAGCATTATTGCTCCGAATTTTTTTACTGTGAACCGAATTGCATACAATTTTGGAATTAGGTTCATCTTATCCTTAACTCCAAAAGTGAAAATGATTTGAACTCCGCAACCACCCAACCACCCTGGGGGTGGTTGCCACCCCTTCTCGGGGGTGTTTTTTTTTATTATATATGGATATCGGATATCGATAGAAGGCCTAATTTTAAGCAAAAAATCATCTATAAAGTTTTTTAAAAAATCCAATACTTTTCAAGTTATTGGCAATTGAAAATTCGCGATTTTTTCCCGTTTTTCATCGGTTTTTTGCAAATATCTCCAAAAATATAAGTTTTATCGAAAATTTTATAAAGAACAAATTTGTAGCAGGTAAAACAATGAACAATTTGGTTTTTTATAAATTATTCTAAGTGCAATATTAAGCTAGATATTAAAGATCAAAGCCGTTTTTTATTTTGTCTGAAATTTAATCGATGTGGTCAATGCCATCTAGCGGCGAGCAGATGCATTTTATGCATTCTTATACAAAAGGGTTTTGTAGTGCTTGAAATAAGCTTTAAAATGAGCACTATTAAAAGTCTTTTGCACGTAAAATAAGTGAGCTGTATTGCAAATAAGGGGAGCATCTAATGTTTTTTCTTTTAAATCAATGAGTTTCATAAGTGCCATTTCCACCAAAATTAAAAGTAATCGTATTCCGCCTAGAATTAACTTTATTATAAAGAGTTTGATAGATAGTATCAGTTTGGCTGCTTCAGGACACATATTTTTCAAAAAAGTCACGATTAAAAGAAAAACTAAAATTTCAAATTTCTAAAAAAACCCACTTTTTTTCATAATATCTCAAAAATGACGACAGATATAAAAGTGTACGATTTAAAAATTTAGGTATTTTTCTGACAAATAATTTGGGTTTTTTGTTTTTTCTGTCAAAATAAAATTGACGGAGATATGATTATTTAAAGAGCGTGTGGCAGCGCAATCACAGCCTCTCTTAAGCCCTTTAACCCTTCACCATTTTAGAAAAAGGTTTTTTAATATATATTGCAATGAAGGATGTTGTAGTTCTCTTAATTACCTTTACAATGGTTTTTCATAAATTGTGATAGCATGAAAATTGAAGGAGTTATGGTCCAAAAACTTATCATATTTTTTTCTACTTAGTAACTGAAAATTTCGGAGTGTGAATATTTGGAGCAATGTGAAAGTACGCAGTATAATAGAGACCCACAACTATTGTAATGTGTATATATATACATAATATGGTTCATATATTTTGGAAACATAGGCATGAATACATACCAACGTTCTTATATGTATATATAACACATTTCATCATCATCATCATTCATACAACGGATGGGGGGTGGGTCATGAATGACGGTTTATTAAATCCACTTAAGTCTGTAGATCCACCCGCACCACAAGAACTGCTGAAAATGATTTTTGCAACTGCAAAATAGGATGTGGAGCGTCTTGCGGATGCAGAAAAGTTGGTCTGTTTTGTAATAGTACCTGTGGAACGTGCAGTGGAGATAACTGCCAAAATAGCCCTCAAATTCAGCTAGATGATGTTGAATGTGACAGCGACTCCGACATTGAGTCATGAATAATAATATTATATTTTTATAATAATATTACAATTTTATATAATTAGTAAATATTTTATTCAATAAATGGCAATTTTTTACTCTATATTAAATTATTTTTAAATATGTAATCATATATATTTACTGTTTTAATTTAGGGATAGTTTTAAGGGTAGAGCTAAGCTTAAGAATATGATAATCATTTTCGAGAGTGTAGAATAATATCTAAATCCTTTACATTTTATCAAAAAAAATTTTTGATTTTTTTTATTAAGGGGTAGTTTTCAAGGGTTGAAAGGGGGTTAAAAATTTAATAATTATTATAGAGAATATAAAATATTACTTACTCGATACTTACATCTTTTTATGTCATACCAAAGTATTTTTTGTGATTTTTTCAATTTAGGGGTTGTTTGCAAGGGTTGTAAGATTTTCAAGGGGTTGAAAATGATTTTAATATGAAGTAATTATGTTAGAAAATACTTTACAATTTCATCACTTACTATTAGACATGTTTTCTAGCGATAAAATGGCTCAATGTCAATTTTTCCATTAAGGGGTTGTTTGCACCCCTTAAAAATAATAGGCGGAGTTCAGATCATTTTCACTTTTGAAGTTAAGGGTAAGATGAGCCTAATTCCAAAATTTCATGCAAATCGGTTCACAGTAAAAGAATTCGGAGGTAAGACCGTATTTTTCGCTTCAATGACTGTACTATTTATTTTACGGAAAAATTCTAGTGTCAAGTTAGGTTAGTAACCAAGTCATTACAACAAACAAAGCAACAAAGTAATAACTTAGCAACCAGTCATTACATTAATTATTTAATATTATAAATACCAGTATTATTAGATGCCGTAAAGTAGGAGACGACACGACAAAAATCACGATACATCGACTGTTGCTTTTAAAATAAATCCACCAGAATATTAATGACAGACAGGTTAAAAAAATAACGAAAGAAGAACTCACATCATCGATCCGACTCTTTATCAGATTCTTGGCGAGCGCCAGATGGACTGGCAGCTCCAGATCCGGATGTTCCGCTTTCACGTCCAGGCTGGCCAAGCAGTACTGTCCCTGCACCTTCACAACGCTTCCCGACTCCAACTGCACGCGCGCCCTGCTGCTCAGGCACTGATCGTAATCCCCCAATTGTATGCCATTACCTTGCAGCAATCCCGAAGGAATCTTCGCGGTGGCGTCAAGCACTTTAATAATCAAAAAGCTTATTTCAAGCGTGAACAAGGCTACTTCATTAGGATTCCATTACGTTGTGTTTTACTGTCCTTCTATAATGAGATTGGATCTATATTTGACAACTATGTCAGATTATAGTATATCATGAATATTGTACTGAGTAGGGAAAATAAATGTTTAAACATTTACATTTTAATAAGTTTTTTTTTGTAAAATGATCACGATGATATATATATTTAATGAATGGTATATATAAGTAATTAGCTTTTGGGTTAGTTTTTAAATACAATTTGATCGACATTTACACTGTTTTAAAAATATTTTTCTTAAGTTGTCTTTGTTTTGTTCAAAACTAATATATTTTTAAATATTAAAACGTAATTAAATGCACATGTAAGTATCTACATTTATTTAAAATCGTTATTTTTTTTATATAATAATATCACTGTAAAATATATACCCCATTCATAACAATATTTATGGTTGATCAATTTAGAATATACCTAAATTTAATAGAAGTATCCGTGATAAATAATGGACTTGCTCTTGATAGTCTTGACACATCTGCATAATCAAAATAAGCACCTGGCGCATTCCATGTTATCTGTCTATTTTATTTCTCAAATTAAACTTGATAAAAAAAATAGTTTCGACATTTTTTGTTATCAATAAATCCTAAGTATCATACTTCATTAAATTTATTATGAGCATATTACGGCTGACCTCTCCGGGCAAAAACATAAACACAAATAAAAAAAATGCTGAGAGAAATTCGTCCGAAAAAGCATCGTTCCACATAAAAATGCCGTTCTTTTTAAAACAATCACAAAAATAAAATAAATCTCAATGTGATTCCGATAAAAGGATTCCATTAGTCACACTTTGTGCGGAGCCCTGGAATATTCTGTGTATTTGCAGTCCTTAGAGGCCACGCCCTGAAGGTCATCACGCGAGTGTCATTCCAGTAACAGTACATAACTTCACGTTTATTCCCATAGAACACATTTACAACGTTTTTAAATGAACGTAAACATTGCAATAGGGCAAGGTGAAATTACATACACTAGTATTTTACTTTATTTTTGGCATAAAGTAAGTAAACTATAATAATAACGGCAGTTTGTCTAATATTCAGATTATGTTGCCTTCATTATAATGTTTTGATTTATATCGAATGTATATTAAATTCTTCAAATGAGTGTGATATATTTTCATTAACATCATATGATCTACATAGAGACATACGGCACGTTATAACACGAATGTTTGTTAAGGATTAGAATATATTTGGATAGACCGATGAGACAGTATAATTTATAAGATCTTTTTCACGTAACAACTGTTACTGATATTTCTGAATCATTGCCAATACACATAAAGAAAGAGTTTAATCGACATGAAACAATTCTTTTCCATATTATTAGCTAAAAACATATGAACTTTTTATTTGAAATTAATATCATTATTAGAATGGAGCTGAGACAGAACGCCAGCAAAAAAATCAAATCAATTTCTAATGGAATAAAATGAATTCATTTAGCTCAGTTATATAATAATATAAAACTATAAAATCAAATAATGAAATCTGCCTTGTGTAAGCAATACCTATCAAATAAAACACGTTTAAATGGTTTAAATGCGTTAATTTATTACTTTTTTGACATTTCGCATTTTTTTCGGGCTGCGACGTCAAATTACCGAATTTTAATTCACTTAAACGTGTTTTATTTAATGAGTGGTGTGCGTGAAAACTTAAGAAACAAGCAATACCTATGTTTAAAATAGACGTAAAAGTATCAATTGAAAAAAATTTGATTACAAATACACGTTAAAAATACTTACTGTTGAAAGCCCATAATTTAGTTCCACGTAATTGCCTCAAGACGATTTGTCCGTGACGCCTACATTCGGGGTTGTGAATTCGTGAGAAATTTGGCGCAAAAGTTGGTAAGAATGCATAAAAGTCCTCGAATTCACTCTGGAGTAAGTTTCGTCGCTGCAAAGCATCCGTCACGTGTTTCAAATTACTTTCACTTTTGGGAAACATTTCTCGACTGTCAAAAGGCGTTTCTTTAGACGATTTATCCGTTTTACTGTGCTCTTTCCCAGTTTGTTTTTTATAGTTTGGTTCAGATTTACTGCCAGATTTTTGTTTAGCTAGATTTTCTTCTTTTTTCTTTGTTTCGGGCTCTGATTTCCTTACAGGTTTTTGTACTTCATCCTTACTTTTGGTCTCCTTATTTTCTGAAGGTTTTATTTTAATCTCATCTTTTTTAGTCGGCTCTTTTCTTTTATTTTCGTTCACTTTCATGTCCATGGGTGTTTTTTTCTCATCCTTTTTTATTGATGTGGTTGGTTTAATTTGTTTACTTATTTGCTTTGGCGCCTTATCCTCGCTTTTTTGCTTCCCATCTGTTTCTAAATCTTTTTTGACTGAATCAAGATTTGTTTTAGCTAATCCTTCTTGATAATATTTTGTTTCCTTGTCGAGTTTATGGCCGTCTTGCTTTAAATTAGTGGCTCCAGGAGTTATATTCTTATCAATTTTTTGAATACTTTCGGTTCCTTTTTTAGGTTCTATCTTATTTTGATTTTTTTGTTTAAGCGGTTTGTCATTATCGTCTTCCTCATCATCATCATCTTCATTGTTACCGTCATTATCTTCATCTTCATCGTCATCGTCATCGTCCTCGTCATCTTTATCTTCACTATTACTGACAAAGAAACTACTAAAGAAATTCATAATTTTGATTTCTTCTTTTTCTTTTCTAGTACTTTCAATAACTTTTTTCTGAGGATATATAATGACATCATCATCTTTGTCATCTTCTTCATCGCTATCATCATCATCGTTGATATGATCAGTGGATTTTACAGGTGACTTTTGATACTGGAACTTTTTCGTCTCTTCTTTCGGTTGACTTGCAATTTTGTTACTATTTTTTCCACTTTTGCTGTTATCATCATCTTCATTATCATGTTTGGTACTCACAATCGGCTTAACTGTAGGCATTTCTATTCGAATATTTTTTGGCACACTCTTATTCAACGTTGATACTTTTTCAATTTTTTTTACGTGAAGAGGAGCTTTGCCCCCAATATTAACTTTGAAGTCATCATCATCGTCGTCGTCGTCATCATCGTCATCACTATCGTCATCGTAGATATCTTCTTTACTCACTGACTTTATCGAATTTAACTCTAATTTTAACCTAGTTGTAATTTTGTTTTCTTTAAAATGATGCTTAGACACGGTAACCTTACTTTTCAAATCTTCAATTTCATCGTCATCGTCAGCATCGTCATCACTAACGTGTTTAACCTTTACATTTGACTTAAGTTCCGAAGCTTTTTGTTTAACAGATTGTAATTTTTCCCTTGTTGCTTTCTTCAATTCATCATAACGTTTGCCACTTTCAATTTTAGCACTATACACATTTTGGCTGTCCTTGAGTTCATTAATGTCACAGTCTTCACACTTTTGTTTCTTAAAATCCGTTTTGAGAACATCGTGGGTTGTTTTAGGCAAGTCGCGTACGCGGAATGCGCTGGTCACTATTGCTAGGATATGTATGCAGATTAAAATTAGAGCTAACGTCCGCCAGTTGTACGCCATAGCCGCGGCGTGGATGTTCACGGCGCCATCGTCCGTACAACTGAACTTCTCACCCACAAACCCAGTTTATTTCCATCACACGCTTTAGGCATATCTCAATGGCGTACTAGTAGGAATTTCATTGATGGCGAACGAAGTGGGATCGTTTGAATTTTGGTTGGATTTTAGTTGGGAAAGGTGCGATTCCTCGGAGTTAAATCGAGTGAACTGGCAAGCGAGCTCGGCTAATGGCATACTTCCAAGATCGGAGTAAAAATAGTGTAGCAAAGGCGATTGTCTGGCGCACGCGCCGAATTGACGACGATGGATGGCTGCTTGCGACGATTGAGTGTGATAGGTCAGCTACATTATTTAATCGGGTGATGATGAGATGATCAGTTGTTAAAGATCGTGCAAATTGAACATAGTTATGTAAAACTTAAACTAACCGGCTACTTTGGTCGAATATATTGTTGTAAAAAAAAGATTTATTCTTTGATTATACCTAAACCAAAAAAGCAGACAAAAAATATATAAAAAGAATTTGAATTTTTTATCACATTTTATTCATATTGATACCTAAGTTACCTGCTTAAGAGTAGGTACACCCTTTTACTTTCATCAGTTCGTGACTATAATATAAAATTGTATCATAATTCGCAGAGAAATGGTTTCGACTTTTATGTTGTGAAGTAAGTTTTTTTTCAATTCTATGTAATTTTTAATTCTAGTAAATATTTTATGGATGAAATTACTAGTAAGTAGGCACCTAATATAAAGTAACTCGACGAGGCGCCATCAACGATAGTACCTATCTTTAAAATAATGTATGTCATTTTCGATGTTTTCTTTTTATAACTAAATCATGTTTCATATGAAATCATCATCATCAGCCTATAAATATCTCCACTACTGGGGCAAAGGCCTTCCCTATGGATGGAATAGGGATATTGATGGACCATCCATGACCTACCACTCAAGCCCAGTGCGGAGTGGTGGGCGCTAACTATTGCAACTGCAGCAGGGACCAACGGAACATCGTGCCATCCGAAGCAAGGAGGAGCGGAAAGAAGCTCGAAATAATAAGTTTTTGGTCACCCATCCAGTTACCAACCATTGCGAAGTTTGCTTAACTTTCACGACTACAAGCCAAACCCGCTAACTACCTGCTCCATCGAGGAACACCTTTTATGCTGCCTTGGTATTAGGGTTCTCCACTCTTAATTTATACATTTAAAACGCCCTTCATTATACCGAAGTAAACGAATTGCTTAAGCGACATATTGCTATCACAAAGCTACAGGCGCTACAAAATTAAATATTTATGCCCCACCCTCTCCCCACCACCATACACGAAACCAGAATTACGTACTTATAATGAAAATTTCGCTAATTATCTTTATTCTTATCATAAAGAAATTTAACAAACTACTTAGAGAGGTAGGGATTTGCCGCTCGATTTAAGAAGAAGAAGAAATAAATTTTGTTGACCATAAACATAAATAAAAACAATAAAAAAAATTAAGGCCAACTAGGTCCCTGCCTCAGCTTGAATACTACAGCAACACCGGGGATTTGGGGAAGTTACCTCCACCTTACAGAAGATTACAGTAAAATAAAACTACCTTTTGTTGGTATTTTGTTTCTTTAGGTAGGTGAGTAAGGTTCCAAGACCCCACAGGGTAGGGGATTGGGCAGAAGCGGATTATCCTTAAGGCTAACTAGGCATGTGCCTAGGGGCGCGAGGGTACAGAGGGGCGCGCGAGCGGCATTGTAAAAAAAATATAGCATAAAATTAATTGGCTAGTCCACTACTGGACATAGGTCTCCCCTAATGCACGCCACTATTCCCAATTTTCTGCCACCTATTACACAATAAAAACTGCTTATTTTTGCTTATAACCTCAATTTGCTACAATTTATAACAAAAGATAAATTTAACGAATGGGACTGATTAATACTTACATCTACAAAAAACCTTGTCGATGGTACATGATCTCTGATTAAAGTTGGAAAGATATGACTACAATATTCGTCGCATCGACCGAATCGGTTTCGGTCAAACTATAGCATGAATTATTTTTAATAACTCGTCTGGCCATAAATAGAATTAGAATGCTTGCTGTTAGAATTACTAAGGCTGTTAATGCTGTTAAATTCGTCGTAACCCCATTAGGGAGCAAAATATCTTATCACGAGAAATGAAGATTCTAGGTAGGTAGGACTCTATCGCGTATTATAAAACAAGACCTGAAGCTCGGTGCTTATTGTTGATATACAGGACATGTCCTAAATAAATCTTTACAAGAGAGTGGATCGATCAAAACGCCTTCTGTCGCGATACGCAGGTGAAAAGGACAGAAATATCCTCTTTACCGATGAAAAGAAATTACGAGTGAAGTGAGTGAACACTACAATCAGCAAAATGATAAAGTTTACGCTCACAGTTCCAAAGAAGCTGCTCAAGTTATTGGAAAGGTACAAAGTGGTCATCACCCTGCGTCAGTGATGGTTTGCTGGTGCGTGTTTTATCAAGGGTCCCAAATTACATTTTTGTGAAGAAGGAGGTAAACTTCAGCCAAAGTGTATCAAGATACAGTCTTGGATCATGTTGTGAAACCTCTCAGCAATACACTTTTTAAAAATATACCGTGGACTTTTCAGCAGGATTCTGACCTGGTCACAAGGCACGAACAACTCAAGCCTGGCTTTAAACCAACGTTCCTTTATAAGAGCTGAACACTAGCCCTTATCTAGCCCAGATCTCAACCCTTTAGACTTTAAATTATGGTCAGTTTTAGAGGACATGGCTTGCTCTAAAGGACACGACGACATTGAGTCTCTTAAAAATTTTTGGAGCAGCCAGTGGCGTAATTTTCCTTAGAAACAGTGCGTAAAACCATAGGTTCGTGGCCAAACAGATTAAAGGCCTGTAGGCCATTTCGAATAGGATATATTTTTATTCTTTGCTAAGACTTTAATAAATATGTAGGTATACATTTTAATAATATTACATTACTTCATTAAAAAAATAACATTTTCATTTGTAACAGAACTTATGGCTGGACTAGGTATAGGGGCGTCGATGAGATGCTTGCCTACGGCGCACAGTGTTTTAAGAACCTCGATTTTGTGACATGCCCTTTTTATCCCGAATTCCTATAAATTAAGCTATTATAAACACTGTAAAAATACTGAAACATTTCTACGATACGTAGTTTTCGAGAAAAAAAAATCAAAGTTGACCTATTTTACAACTAGGAATTAAAAAAGAAATCTAGCTAGCTCCTCTATTATGCATATTGTTTTAGTTTTGGTTAAAGGTTTATATATAGCTTTCTTTTATACATCTTTTCACAAATTTTGAGCCTTCTTTAGCAAACCGTATAGACCATATGACCTTTATTTTAATTTTCGATTTCATTTTTTTTCTTAAGAATAACGGCGTATTCGGGTAAAAGTTTGTTGTCCCTATGTAGAGTATTTTTAATGCAACCGAAAACCTCGTTGTGTACGAGTTATAAACAAAAACATTAATTAAACATAATTCCGGTATTAGGGTTGTTACTTCCGGAACTGAGTATTTAAAAATAAAATGAGTTACTATAATATATGTTAATAAGCATTCTTTTAACATATATTATATGACCTATTTATTGTTATTGGAGAACAAAGAGAATATAACTTATAGGTATGTAACTAATAAGACTTAAGATAGTTTTTATTACAAAATATTTATGTATTAATAAATAGACTCAAAATCGGCAGTGTTATTTGTTGTATATTGCATGAACAATTATACAATATTGTGGAGTGACGATGAAAATAATCTTTTTGCTACTACATTTGTTCCGCTGCAGCTCGTGTTAAATGAAAGGGATGTTGTTTGGTCTAATCCAGCCCCACAATCACATAGATATTGCACCTATTCATATTCAATATAGGAAGGAGAACAAAGAATTAATTCTAGCAGAAAAAGAATTAATTAAAAATTAAATATGTAATTTGCAACTGCAAGGCAAAAGCTCACAAGGTCATAATATACCCGTAAGTTGTGAACTATACATATTGTGCAGCTATTGACGGAAAAGTCCTTAACATTTTATTAAATACGTCATCCCAAATGCGTTGCCCGTAATGTGGCTGAACATAGACCTTCAATAACTTGGACATGACTTTTTCTAAGCCATTAAATCGAGAGCTATTGATTAACGGCTTAAGTCTGCTTCATGTTTGGATACGAGTGCTAGAATTTCTCTTACGACTTGGCTATAAAATGGATGTAAAAAAATGGCGTATCCCACACAATTCTATAGATTAGGTCAAAGTTAAGGAGCGCAAAAAAATAATTCATTCATTCATTAAAATGAAGTGAGAATGCAAATGGGTTTACTGGTCGACGTAGTGCGCCCCAATTTGGGTACAATAAATGATGGCAATACAGCACGAATGGATTTGTCAGACAAGTTCCGCCAAAAATTTTCCCATATTCTGGGGATCGAACAATGGCTGTGGGATGATCTCCTCCTCCTCTCCGATGATGATATGATGATTATGTATTGTTTTGTCTAGCAATCATGCAATTGATTCCGACCGGTTTAGGGATTTTTGTAAAAATTTGGCTTGTAAGTATGTCGCTACCTATAATTGGTGTCCGATGACCGTAACGTTGCACAAAGTTTTAATTCATGATACCGATATTATCAAATCAGCCACTATACCTATAGGGATGCTTTCGGAGCAGGCTGCCGAGAGCCGAAATAAATATTGGCGGAACGATAGGGAGCACCATACCCGAAAAATGAGCCGTGAATTTCTTTAATAGAGCGTGGGAAACATCGGACCCTGTTATAACAAACATTCGAATGCAAGAGAGAAAAATAATTAAAACTTGACACCATTACCATCTGCAGTAGTTTCTTTATTAAAAGTGACAGATCCAGGTGACGCAGTAAGGGATATTGATTTTGAGGACTACGTCGATTCTTTCGTTATAAATACAGAAATAAATGATTCATTGTAAATATTTATTTATGAGAAGTAATTTATATTTCAATTTCATAATTAAATGGCCGGAATAAAATTTTTGTCGACCCTGAAAAAAGAAGTTTTTAGCTCATAACTTCTACATAACGCGGTATTCGGTTGCAAAAAATAACTAAAACAAAAAAAAAATACTGTATAATAGGGACAACAAAGCTCGATATTTTAGTGAATAAAATTCACCCGAATACGCCGTTATACTAAAGAAAAAAAATATAAATGAAAACTTGAAAAATAAAACATATCGTCTATACGATTTGCTTTAGAAGGCTCAAATTTTGTGGAAAAATCTATTGTACAAAACCACACACCACATACATTTAATCAAAACAAAAAAACATGTTGAATAGAAGAGTAACATTGTTTTTTTGAAATTCCGGATCGAAAAAAGGGTTAACTTTGAATTTTTTTTTCTCGAAAACTACGTATCGTAGAAATTTTCCAGTATTTTTTCAGTGCTTATAATAGCTTAATCTATAGGAATTTGGGATAAAAAGGGCATGTCACAAAATCGAGGTTCTTAAAACACTGTGCGGCGCCGGCGCTCTCAATGTTTATTCCGCCACTGGGATTGGGTCAGGGTAGGCAACGGTGCGAGTGATACTTTTTAGTAGGCTTGTAT